AGTCACACCACTGTTCAAGATTGTTCTTGAGCAAGAGCATGCAGGTTGTCCCTGTAGGGTGATGGTAGTCCGATAGACGTGAGGTCTTTTCCACCAATGGAGTGAAGTTTGTCTTCAAGGAGGATGAGGGCCTGGTTAAAGATGACATCAGAAAAGGTGACGTCGTGGAGGATGTCCTCACTCATGCCCTCTTTGTATTTTTGCCAGAGTCCCATGGGGTTAGATGGGCTGCAAACTTGAAAAATTATGCAGAAGAGCAATTTCAGTTGATAAGTGGACTGTACAACAGAAGCTTCTGTCATAGCTCTATCAAGATGCTGATCATCCTCAAGAATTCCACGAACATTGCAAGCGTCCCTGTATGTTTGACAGACAACTCCTTCCACTGTTTTGAGGTGTATGAAAGATTTGTGCCCTTTGACAACATGGAGAAGCATTCGGAGAAAGTAGCACTCTTGATTGTTGCGATCAACTATGTAGACTCTTCCTAAGGCATCAGATTCACCGTCACCAGCACGTCGCTTCCAATTTTTTTTAGCAGTCCGTGTATAGTAGGAGGAAACTTCATGGTCGAGCAGGCTGGCAGCAAATGGTTCACTTTGGCACAAAACAAACAACGGCATCAGGGTGGTGTTTTGTGGAGCCAGGGCCTGTTGCTGGGAATTTCCTTCGGTGAAGTAGATGCGTTGACCACTTTCGAGGTGAACACGCCAAATGGACGACTGTGGGGGGAACGCTTATGGATGGGGAAGCCTAGAATTCTCCAAATGGCCTCATTTCTGCTGATGTATCTTCGTTGGACAAAAAGTTTAACCTCACCTGCGGTCTTGCATAGATGGCCAATTTGGATTGAACTGCCCACATGGGCCATGGACCATTTGCTTGCAGACCACATAAAATAGGGCAGGGTCTTGATGGGGGTCAGGTAGCTCAGCACTAACAAATATGTCAATGTCACTTGCATGAATTATTTCCCTCATCCATAGCAGAATGTGAGCATAAGGAAGAGCACGTTTTTGCCACTCAATGTTTTGCAAGTTGCATCTTATCTTTCCAAAGACGCCACCTTCCCTAGTTGTAATAAGCCTCATGAGTTCATCAACTTTGAGTTTGAAGACCCTTGCAGTGATGACATGTCTGTCTGTTGGCTTTTGGTCTGGATAAAGCTCAACCTGGATCTCCTTCCATTTAGGATTGCAAATGAAGGTGATAAAGAGATCGGGCCTGCCACATTGGCTGATGTACGTCGTGGCATGTTGAGTCTTCTCATGCATGTATCTTGGTCCACCTGTGAAAGATGAAGGCAAAATAACTAATCTGCCCACATTCTGAGCGTTTGCATCTAGGTCAGCATTGATAGTATCCCTGAGATGAGCATACTGTTCTACACGCAGGCGTTTTTGATGAAGTTGAATGTAAAGAAGGCACTCTCAATTTTGGCATACTCATCAACAACATACTGGTGTGAAAGAGGTTGGCGCACCATAATATGGGGTTTGCTCCTTCTCTGTCCATGGTCATGAAGGAATAGAAGTTTTTAGAGGAGACAGTTTTGTGAGTATGTCTTGCTGGTAACCATCTTGGACTTGCCACAGCATAATGGGGAATTGTATGGCATCATATGCTCTGTCTCAGGGATTTGTTTGCTGGTGTTGTCTTGGTATCGAAGCACAAATACCTCTCTTACCATGTTCCTCACCCACCGTAAGAACAGGAACCTCAGCACAAGTTGGGGCATCGAACCTCCCTGCATGCTCCCCGAACGTGAACCCCACGGTGTGCGAGCCAAATCCTTCGCAAAAGTTTGGGCCGCACACACACAGACAGACAGACAATGACATTTATAGGTCAGAAAGATAGCTAAAGAGACATTTTTACCCCTACCTCGTATACCCGTCCCTCCAAGTAAAAATGTACAACAGCGTATTGTACGCAACTCATCGGGCTCATCGGGCCCATGGGCTCTCTGAAACGGCATCGTTTCAGCAGCGTTGATTCAAGACAAGCAAAACTCTGTGCCGGTTTCGACGTTCAGTGTCTCATCAGCAGTCGGGCACACTTGATTCAATGCTGGTGAACTGCCATACGCTATAGGCAAGGGCCCACCTCTTTGAAGGATTGGTCCGAACGCAGCGCGAAATTGTATAATGCTTAACGCGCAACAATTATCAGTGACGTTGATGATATGAACCACAAAACACTGCTACGGCTCTTTCGTATATCCGTCTCGCCACGTAAAAAGAATATAACACACGCAATTCTGATACAACCCACAAGCACGCTGATGATTATTTCGAGTTATGTTTTATGAATGAGCGGGTTAGAGCTCATTCAGTTATTGAAGCTCTATGCATGTGCAAGCGGAACGTCCGGACATTATGCCGAACAGCAAGTGGAGAGCTGGGACGCCGGACCGTGAACAGCTACGCAGCAGCAGCAGCAGCATCCCGTTGAGAGACAGGCGTCGCTTTTTCAAGGGAGACTGCGAGAGAAGCCCAAAAGGGAAGGCCAGAAGCAGCATCGTGAGCAGCTTGAATTCTCCAAGGAGCACAGACGCGCCAGGCCCACCATCTCTGGGTCGAAACCTTGAGCCAGTGGTGACAATCACAATTATCCCTTGCCCGTTGGGAGTCAATCCATTGGACAACCAATCGCTCTTGACCGGCACCCATAACAAACAAAGTAGTACCTATCTTAGCCACATGTAACTTTGAAAAAATATTTTTTTTTTTACCAGGTAAGGCCCACTGAGCTATATAGCTCTTTTTCAGAAGCGACCTGGCCACAAAGGATACTACCTCAACGAAGTGGCTTATCATTGCAGCCAAATACTCAAAACCCATGAATCTAAATGTGGAGGGAAAAACCGGAGGACCCGGAGAAAATTCCACGTGATCACGGGGAGAGACACGTGACCACGGGGAGAGGCACGTGACCATGGGGAGAGGCACGTGACCACGGGGAGAGACACGCAGACTGCACGATGTCCTACACACCAGGCGAGGTAGTTAACATCTCGCCCCTGTGGCACCTTGGTCCACTGAAGGACTAAATACCCCCCCCGCCACACCCAAATTGTGATTTGAACTCCTCTACCTAAAAAAAGATGAGTACTGGTCAAGACCTGTTTTTGTCTGGGGACAAGCTTGATTTTTTTAGTTTTACCCAAGCTCAGAATGTATCCTATGACTGTACATTTATACAAAAAAAATCTTCCACGACCAAACGCATCGTGGGAGGGCCTTCATCCAGCAGCGGATTGACAACGGGGCTGTCAATGTCCAATTCAGTACTTTATTTAAAAAAAAACGATTCTATCAACAAAAAGCCTTAAGTTGATCCTGCTTGAATGACGATGCAATACAAAACTAAAACAACTTGTCCTCTGTAAAGTTCACAACATGAGCTTGGCTTGGGTCCACGCATTCATGTACACCTTGTGACGAGATCTTCCGATTAAAAGTCAACCGCATCTTTACACAAACTGTGAAATACTGCACCACGTTTGAGTAAACAATACGCGTAGTGCAATCGGATTGCTGGTTCGTCACTGACGTTTTATTTTGTTTTGCTTGTGAAATTATGAACCTGCGTGTCAGCTTAACGCTGCAGATCTCCCCGAACCGAGCTCCAACTGCGCAACTGTGTGGTGGGGAGGTCAGGCGAGATAAAACTGGAGGATAATGACTCGTGTAAACAGTGACGGCTGATAAGGGAGGCAAATACTGTGACTTGAGAAAGAGAGGGCAAAATAACCCCAGCCACTCCACCTCCACGACCGACCGCCCCTATCCATCGGTTCCACTGCCCTCCAAACTATTTTGTCTCTATTTTGTAAGCCCCGTCTCTTGCTGATGATACCCTGGATGTGGGTATCATCAGCATTATGCACTTACAGAAGGTCACGTGGCTGATGGGTCACGTGGAAAGACAGATATGTGATGGGAGACGATGTCTACCAATATGTTTTTCTGTTAAATATATATTTTTAACCATAAGTGGGCGGTGATTAACAAGTCTTCGGCCTCACGTGGGAGACTCGATGAAAAGGTCAACTCGTCATGACACAGAGATATTAGGAGCAGAGAGGGGCTGCCCAGATTAAACAAAAAAAAAGCCAATACACGGTCCCTAAAGATTTGGGGATGCAGGATCTGTTCTGCATTCCCAGGTCGAAGTTTCGGTCTATGGGTGACCGAGACTTTTCCCGTGTAGCCCCCAAGGCTTATGGATCGCTCTTCCACGACATATATCAGAATCTCTCGAGAGTCTGTGAACATTTTTAAAATGTGTCTTAAAACCAATGTATACGCTTCCGCTTAGTAAACTTTTAGATCATTTCGTAAATGGATTATAATATAATTATTGTCATGCTTAGGTGTCTGCTGCTGCTAAGTCATGTAGAGTGCTTTGAGATCCTTGACGAAAAGCTGCTATATAAAATGGAATTATTAGAATAAAGTCTATGAATATGGAAATGCTTACCTATGTAGAATGAGGGCAAAGGGGTAGAACGTCCGTCTGTATTGCTTTTAAAAGTACAGTCATCAGTTTATTTGCAGTCACACGGGGCACTAGGTCACTAACCCGTAACTAGTGAGTCGCAGTTAATGTCGAAGCCAGCGTTAGCATTGCTTCTCATGGTGTGGCAGAGTATGAAAGGGTTGATCATCCTCTCGCGATAGTGCCCAGACCTGGTTCCCAGTGACTTCCGCAAGTCCGCACAGTTTAAAAACAATCGATTAAACAATAAAAGAACTACTTTTTATTTTAAGAGACAAGGCCCACCGAGCCTCACAGCTCTTTTTCAGAAGCGATGTGGCCATTCATGATACGCCAAACGAAGCGGCTTATCACGTGGAAATGCATAGCAGCCAAATACTCTGAACGCACGTCCCTTCGAAATGTGGGGGGGGGGGGAACCGGAGGATCCGGTGAAAGATCCACGCGACAACGGGGAGAGAGAGACACACGCAAACTCGAAATATACAGCCTTCAGGTGTCGAGATCGAACCCATGACCTCCTGCATACCAGGCGAGGAAATTAACATCTCGCCACTGCGGCTCCCCAATTGTAGGGAAAGTAACATCTCCAGCAGCAAGACGAGGCAAATGTGTCCTGAACAAAAGATTTGAGAAACAAGACAAAAACGTCCTTCAGAGACAGTCATGACCAAGCACATTGCATGTCAAGAACAAGAACAACGCAATACCAGCATCATCAGTAACCAATTGCTTTTCATGAGAGGCCGCAGACCTCTCCATCGTCCCTTGCCAATGAAGCGTTGACATCACCAGCCAACTTAAACCACAAAGGATTACTTGCTGAAAGCATGGCCACGAAACTGGCGAGCTTCTGCCAACGCCAGCTTACCAATTCAAGCGCACATGCAGACAGGACTGGCTTACCTACAAAACTTGGCATTGGTGTCTGTGAATGTGCGAGTGTGTAGTTGCTGCGCGGGCAGGGTTGGCTTTGCGTTTCGTGCAAAAACTGGCGACCCGAGTTCAGCTATGGCTAACCATCGGTGGCGAGTGCTATCTTGGCCGGTTCTGGTGAGACCCATATTGTGACCCAGCCTTAAACGAGTAGCGTGTATGCGACGTGTAAACATCTACACTGGGGGAGGCAGAGATAGCTGGGCATGGGGCTGGCCTGGCCACAACCACTCCCCTCGTGCACCATCCCGACTATGATAGCCTGCTGCTGCTCGCTCGCAGCTGCTTGCCCAAGGAGTCTGTGTGTACGCTAGACGAGGAGGTATCTTTGCGGTGTCTCTGCACACGGACACACGCACGTGGGTGTGAGCGCGTTCATGCGTGCGTTCATTTGTCTGTGCTTGCGTGTGTTGCCTGTGTGTTCCTGCAAGTTTCAGAAAGGTCAGGCAGGTGATCAGTCATCATGGCGGTCCTTTAAACAGTTCCACTCATGCAGATAAGCGCTCTCCACCACCCCTTGCTGCCTCACCCAACACCCACAGATACCAAACTCCCTCCTACCCCCCCCCCCTGCATCTCTGCCAACTCCCATACGCATTATCGACCTAACACGCACACATACACACACAAAAAAGACAAACATCCCCCGTATAGCCTTAACAGACTTAACACGTCGGCTTTCGCGACCAATATTATCGGTGGACTTAGTAACGAATTGGCGTGTTTTGTTTACCTGACAAACCTTACCAATTGGCTGTGCCGGGTGGTGGCGGGTTGAACGACACATTTATATGTACGCGATCTAACCCAAATAAAACCTCTATGAAGGTCCTTAATAGACTGTTTGGGGCAAGTGCTGTTAGCGAAGAAACTGAGCACTTGGTGCGCTGTGTAAACATCGCCACTGGAGAAGAAAGGCGGTCGGGCATGGTGCCGGGCACCCACCCACCCCCTCGTGCACCGTGCTCGCTAACAGCACTTGCCCCAACAGTTCGTTAAGGCTACACGGCGAGGTGCTGAATCTTTGTCTTCTTGTGTGCCTGTGTCCATTGCGTGAGTGAGCGAGTGCGTGGGTGGGTGGTGCACCCAAGTCGACATCGCTGGCTACCTGCATTGCGCGCCTGCGCGTTGCTCCGCTGTACCATGCGATGCATCGCCGCTGACGCCGTCTCAATTTCACGACGACGACGGGGTGAGGCACAGCCCCGGATTCACCTGAGCATGCGGGTGGAGAGTGGGCGTTGAGGTTAGGAAGGGAAAGGTTCCTAAACCGCGTACCAGCATCGTATCATGTCCCCCAAGACTCGGGAGGCAGGAGCAGATTGATGGAAGGCATGTCGAGCGGCGAAAATTCACACTAAAAAAACGCACACTCATTTTCAAGGAATGTTTTTTTTACGCGCTAATTGTCGCGCTGCCGCTGTGACCACAGCGAGCTGGGTTCAACTCCCTGCCACTTGTTGCTCGGGCTGCAATGGGAATAAATTACTGGAACAAGTTCTATATGATTCACGCCCCCCCCCCCCAATCCACTAGTGCTGCAGTGTGCACTAGATTGCACCATGTGTGAGTCTCTGTGTCTGTGGGTCTCTATGCGTGTCTGTGGGTCTCTATGCGTGTCTGTGTGGTCCCTATGCGTGTCTGTGGGTCTCTATGCGTGTCTGTGGGTCTCTCTGTTAGTCTAGGGTTCATTCTGTGAGTCAAACAAAAGAGAGGAATCCTTGATTCCTTCATTCGAAATATTCACTCCCACCACGGCGTTCCAGGGCGTTCCGGCTCATTTCCTCCACTGCTTGCTACGATGGTCATGGGTAGGAATTCAACCCAGGTGGCTGGTTTGCAGCGCAGGGCCTCAAACCAACTGCGCCACAGTGGAGTGTGGCAAACATCCCGATAGCTCCACACACACAACTCGTGACTAACATATCTTTGCAAGCCCACCGTATGTAAACACAGCACCTCATACAACCTACGTATAAAAGGGCTTTGTAAACATCTGTTAGAGGCTCAGTGAGAGTGAACTGAAAACAGCTTAGGTCCATGGCTTACGTTCTTGCTCCATTGTGTTGCTTCTATCGAGGCACTACACAGAAATCAACAGGGGGCCAACCACCACCACTTCGAAATAAATAAATGAACCTTCCCACTCTTTGAGCCTTCGTCGAGTTCCCGTGAACATGTACAAGGGGGGAATAGTTTAGCCCAGCACTCCCTTCCTCCCTCTCTCATTATCATCACCAATGCCGATTTGCATGTGAACAGCGACGCAGCGTGCGTGCGTGTGCGTGCGTGCGTGTGCGTGCGTGCGTGCGTTACATATGAATGCGTTAGTTGGGCGCTCTTACAACGAGCTTCATCAGGCGGACAGCCAAATTTGTGGAGAAGTCCACCTGTTTCGTACTCAGATTGTAAAAGTTGTGGCTTGGCTCTCCAACACACCGGTGTGTGCTGTACTAGTGACGAATTGGCACGTTCTGTTTACGTGACAAACATTACTAATTGGCTGTGCCGGGTGGTGGCGGGTTTTAACGACACATTTATATATTTACGCGATTAACCCCCCCCCCCCAAAAAAACCCTATGTTATGGATGATTTCGGTCGCGAGAGCCTACTACGTGTTAAACTGGGTGCCCTCGCTGTTCACAAATGAGCGCATGTGGGACAGCCGTGCCCACAGCGGTCATTACACTACGCTTTGAAACCCGGCGACCACAATTCTATTCCCGTCCGCAGCGAAAGTCAGCGAGTGGCCAACTGGCGTCTGAACCACACGCCGCACTGACTGTTCGGTTGCCGAAGAGGCGCCACACACCCCCCCACCCCCCTCCCCCCCCCCCCCCCCCCAGTACGCGGAGCAAAACGTCGGACACCGTGCCGAACAGCACGCGGCAGTGCAACCCGGAGAACCATCGCACGCGAGTTGTTCCCTAGGCCTCCCCGCGGTCAATTCAGCCTCAAACGAATGCCTGCTTTTGTGCGTAAACGTCGACATGGAAGAGGCGAACGCGGCCAGGCGCGGTGCTGGGCCCCCCCCCACTAACTAAGTGTGTCGTTGTGGCCCTAGTAGGGTTGCTCACTAACCACACTCATCCCAACATTCCCAGTGCATCATTGGGAGAGTTATTTCGTCTGCGTGTGTTGGTTGGCACGCTGCGCCGTGAAGCCCCGCCACCCGGGTTCGATTCCTGTCCGTGTGCATCAATCGCCCTTGATGCCAAGACGGTGGCACGGGCTTCCACTCGGTATTTGTTCACAGCCAGGTAAGAGCTCGTTTAGACAAGATTTCTACACGTCATATATTCATGGAGGTCGACTCATCCCGTAACGGAAATTACGATGAACATAACGAGTGCACCAGGTTGACTGTCAATAGCGGCCAGAGACGAGCGGCCCGACGTTTGTGTTACGCTGGCCATCGTAGGCTACCGTATCCACTCACGCCCGCGTGATGCGATGGGATGATTATCACGATTGAAGGGGCGCGGGGGTGGGGGATCGTGATTCCACTCAAGAATTGTTCCTTTCGTCTTATTGTTTCCACCCCATTTGCGTTGTTCGTTTGTTGTGCACACATTCGCTCCATCCATTTTAATATTAGCGTCGCATTTGTATATGGCCAGTCTTGGGGTGAAGCAGAGACAGCAGCTAAAGACCGTCCGGCATGGCACAGCCTTGTTGGGGCCTTATGCTCCACAGGGAGCGAAGTGGAGTCAGCTAAGCTAACAAGTAGAATTTGTATGGATTGTAACGAGTACATTCGACTGTGCATTACTGAAAAGCACGTGTCATGAAGACTTGATTAAAAATCAGCGAATCGACACGGGCGTTACGTCCCTAATAAACACGCACGCAGGGAAGCCGGAAACATTTGTACAATTAAGACTAATTGGTGATGCTGCTCCGTTGGCAGTGGTAATGTACGTCGATTATAGAGGTCCACTCGTTAATTATAATCAACGTGCATTGCCACTGACAACGGAACAGCCTCACCAAGTAATGTCTTGAATTACCATATGAATAATCAAAACGGAAATGGATACCCATTGCAAGTTATATGCATCCATTAATCCGCCCCCTCCCCCTTCGCACGTTAAGGGGTCAAGTGACGTCGTCACTGGTATCCCTCTGTATAATGAACGAAACAGGTGGACTTCTCCACAAATCTGGCTGTCGCCTGATGAAGCTAGTTGTAATTACTGGCGAAACGTCGTACTCAGATTGTAAATGTTGTGGCTTGGCACTCCAACACACCGGTGTGCTGTACTAGTGACGAATTGGCATGTTCTATTTACGTAACAATCCTTTATGGTTTGGCTGTGTCGACTGGTGGCGGATTTAACGGCACATTTATATTTACACGATCTAAATAAATAAATAAAAACCTTCATTTAATCTTGACTTAAAGCTTTCGTGACTGCAGGAATTAATATTCTTGAGTCTTTCGGTAAAGTCACGTTAGATAAGTTGTAAATAGGTTCAAATAAAATATTTTATTTGAATCCATCTACGTGACTTTACCGAAAGACCCAAGAATATGAAGACCTTTATTATAGAGTACACAAACGCATACAGTATAACAAACAAAAGTACACCTATCGACTCAATACATACATTTACAACGGACGGGAACTAGAGGATTGCAAGTAGGCCCATGGTCCAATCAGTGTGCTCTTGTGCACAGACAAAGATCCCCCATATAGTCTGAACAGACAAGTGCTGTTAGCGAGCACCTATGAAGGTGCTCGCTAACAGCCGCTTTTGTCTCCCTAGTGACGATGTTTACACACCGCACCAGGTACTCATTTGGGACCGAGTTGACCTAGGGGAGGCCCAGGACCGGTTAAGACGATCACCACGTACACACAACCGCTCACAAATACACGCGCATGAAGCTCTCCTTGTTAGCCCGATGGGACACTGCATGCACACACACGCACACTTGCGCATACTCTCACCCTTTCACCCAAAGCACAAAGACACAAACCGCAGGCAATTTGTTATGGGTTTTAATTGATTGGTTTCCTATTTGTATAGTACGACCTAATTTGCCTATATAGATACGCGGACAATGTCTCCTGCATATATGACTCTCCATGCAATAAATACAAGTTTGTTTAACAAAACCCATCGGCCCCTCGGCCTTCTGTGGAGTATACAATTCCAGCAAACGTTTATTAAGCGCACGCAATCTCTGGACCAGTTTTGACACCCTCCATGTCATCGACAGAGTTAGGCTTGCCCGAATCAATGGTGATTAACTGCCATACGGTATCGACAAGGACCCTCTCTTAAAATATTAATTTCTTGTTGTTTATATATTCTGCACAACAATGCTAATGGTAATAAAATGTTGCCTATGTAGGTTAAAGTGAGTGCTTATGAAACAAAACAGCAAATAACAACGTTCGTATGACTGGATGAACCCCCTCATCGGTCACGGGGAGGAGGTTTTTTGACCATACGCGTTGCCTCTGATAATAAAACAAGCAGAATCTTTGGTGCGATTTAAATCTGCCCTGAAACCTCACCTCTTTAAGGTGGCATTTTCCCCATTAGCGTCGCTCGTTCACGCTGCTGTCTTATTTCCCTGCTTTTTCATACACTGTGGCGCACTGGGGATCCTCGGATGAAACGCGCCTTTCAAATGTATATTATAATTTTTATTGACCGGAAGAAAACAAAAAAACTTCACATCCCGTAATCAAGTGCAGTCAGCGGACAAGAGAGGAAGAATCGAGCGGCGATCGTGAGGAGGAGGAGCGGAGCGAGGCTGCTGGGAGACGTGCGATGAATGAATAAACACGTGACGCGCTAGATCCCGGGTGGCTCGTTGAAGAAACAAAAAAGAGGCCGTCCACTGAAGAACTTAAGAGGGGAAACCTTCGTGTAAGATCTTCAAAACCGTCGGGGCCTCTCCGCTTGGGAGGTGGTCGCTTTTTGCGAAGCATTGGCCAGGGAATTAGCGGCGACGCTGCGACGCGCCCCCCCACGTGCAAACACGCGCGCGATAGGCTGAGCGCGCGGTGCTAATTGCTTCAGCACGATGGGTAGTGCGGGTTGGTGAAGAAGAGGGGGCCAAGTGAAGGGGCGGAGGCGGGTGGTAAGGAAAGCCGAGGGCCGGTTCACATATCACTCACCACTGATGTTAACCCAAGCCAGAGATCTGCATTCTCAAGTGATCTCCGGGTTCTTACTCAGAGATCTGGGTTTTGAGTAATAGCCCAGAGATTACTTGAGAACCCAGATCTCTGAGACCTTAAGTTCACTGCATTTGAGAACCCACATCTCTGGGTTGAACATCTCTGCAGCAGGGCAGATGGGGAAAGTGCAGGGCAGGTGGGGAAAGTGCAGGACAGGTGGGGAAAGTGCAAGTGCCCCGAGTGTGGATACGAGTTGACTGGAAGGGATCTCAGAAGCAGTTCCCTGGTGACACCTTCCACGGGCCATTCTCTCACCGCTCGGCGAGAGTTCCGGATGAGTGTGTCGTCATCCATCATCATCTCAAGACAGGGCACACCGGGCAGCACAATTAAGAATCAAACTCAATGAAAAGAATGTGGGTAAAGTGCACAAAGCCTGGCATAGACAGCTCCTAGAATAAAGGACAACTGTCGTTTTGCATTGGCGAGTGAGAGCGCGTGTGTGTTTAGATATGGTGGGGAGCGGTAGTGTCGCGGTGAACACGCTGTGCTTCGAACCTGGCGCCCCGAGTTCGATTCTCGCTCACGGCCAACACCAGTGACGATTATCTGAACTGGTCCTGCCCTTCCCCTAGGTCGACTTAGCCTAAAATGAGTATCTGGTGCGGTGTGTAAACATTGCCACTGGGGAAACAAAGGCGGCCGGGCGTGGTGTTGGTCACCCACCCCCTCGTGTGCCGTGCCGACCTTCATAGGCGCTCGCAAACAGCACTTGTCCTAACAGCGTGTTCAGCCTCTACGGGGGATCTTTGTCTTTGTTTAGATTTGGACGTGAATGTTCTGTGTAAGTCACGGCGATAGTTTTGAAAGGACATGCCCTCCCACGTAAATCACCATGCGCACCACAATTTCCAACCTGCCTCGCACTCCCCACCTACCCACACTCCCTCCCGTCCACTGTGCCAACTCACAATGGTTCTAATCCAACCAAACGTCTCCAACGGCAACCACAGGCTTAGTGCCAAAGAAAAAAAAAACACCAGACTGGGATGCATTCCAATAAAAGCACATGGACCGATTCTATCACAACTTTCTGTATTTTTTTTACTTCTATTGAACGCCGCCGTTAATTGTACCGCTGCCCCATGCGCACGGGGCAGCTACGGGCCCCCGAGAGCACCCATCCCTTTTTGCCCGACACTCATCATCGGGCGAGTCGAATGAAATTGTAAATCCGTAACCGGGTCAGATTTTGCTCGTGAAATATATCCGTATGGATCGACAGATTTAAATACGGGGTGCCGCGGTTGGAGCCGATCGGCTCGCCAGCAGCTTACGAGAGTTGGCGCTTGACGCACTCGACAATAATTATTAGTTACGAAGCGAGTTCGCATGGGGCTCGCACCGAGCCCATCGCCTCCCTCCCACGTTCAGTAAAAGCGAGCACGGTCGCCGTGATCGCGCTTCGGCACGGGCTTTGTCGGGTCGTGCGACGCGCTTTTTTGGCACGGTGTCCGACGTTTCGCTCCGCACCCTCGGATATTCTTCAGCACGTGGAGTGCAACGCCGGCGGACGGTCGCGCCGGACAACGCGCGGTGATAAATCGAGTACCGCTTTGTGGGAAATAATGGCAGCGGCTGTCCTCTGCACAGGCCTAGGGGGTTAGGGTCATTCAATAGTGGGGGCACAATGGCGGGGGCGAGTCAATACCCGGCCAAGATGTGAACTTGTAACCTTTCCAGACCAACTCGAGTGTTCTTACCGCCCAGTAACGGCAATCCAACATTGCACGACAAAAACAACTCAGAATTTCTAGAACCATCTAAATGTGGCCACAGCTGAAGATGCTTTACAAAGGTGGGGCGGGGGGGTGCGTACGTCTGGAGGGGACGAGAAACGGTCGCGTCGTTGACATGTGATGTACGTATGTTGAACTTATTTCGCTCTGTACGTAGCCAACTAAGAATAAAAAGGTCCCCCCCTGTCCAATTCTACCCCAACACTCCTTTAGAGCTCAGTGCCTAACCATCCCCCCCACAGCTGATGAGCCTCCGTGCAGTTGCACCGCCTGCACACTCGATGGCTAACACCACTGGCCAGAAATACGACGCAACTTGAATTTTACGTGAGCGTACACGTGCAAAACCAAGTGGAATTAGAGAGAATGTTTGCTGTTTTTTTTTGTTTAAAGGTATGGGTCCTGCAGAGCAGGGAGGGGCTGGGAGATTATGCAACAGTGACCGTGAGGATGCAGACAAAGCCATTGAGAGCAGAAAGACAGGAGAGACACCACCTCTAGGCGGCAAAGAAGAGGATGGTCTTAAGCCTGGTTTTGAGTGGAGGAAGGGGCTCTGTGTGGTGCGGAGGTCGGGGGGTCCAGACATTTGGGTAATTTGCTGAAAAGAAGAAACTTCCATTGACTGTAGCTGGACTGGAGACTTTGACAAGCGATTTTAAACTATAAACAAGTTTTGTTTTATTTACTAGGCAAGGCCCAACTGAGCCATGTAGCTCTTTTTCAGAAGCGACGTGACCACAAAAAAAATAACTCAAAGTGTCTTATCATCGCGTGGAAATTGAAAGCGGCCAAATAATCTGAATGCGTGACGTTGATTCTAAATGTGGAAGGGAAAACCCGGAGGACACGGAGAAAAATCCACGCAACGGGGAGAGAGAGAGAGAGATATATAGACTTGACTTTCCTTTAAAACCACTTTTATTGCCGCCAGCAGCAACAGCACTGGAGGCGATTCCGATATGAAATACACAAAGTCACCAGCAAACAAATGAAAATAAACGTTATAAATCCACGCGCTGTGGCGCTAAATGCACCGCGCACGACACAAAAGAAAAGTCACGTGGTGGTGGTCATCGCGCACGCCACGGTGACGAGCGAGCGCTTCGGATAGAGAGAGATAGAGAGACGCAAACTCCAACTATAATACAACGGGCGTCGCAGGGTCCGGGATCGAACCCACGACCAACCCCCGCACACCAGGCGAAGTAGTTGACATCTGGCAAGAAGAGACCTTGGTCCCTCTGCAGCGGAGACACCTCACGCTTCCGCAGCTCGGCGAGACGGGAGGGCAGGACAGTGGGTGGTGCGAGTGCATCATACGATTTTCAAATATACGGTCGTTGGTTCACGCACGAAACCGTTTCATTTACAATGCGTCACGGACGATTTTCTACATTCAATTGCCGAGGGTCAACGGGCGCAGGTAAACGCAGAAGGTGCGGCCGGATGGGAATTCGTATGAACATACGTTGTTGTACGTATATGCGTGTTGAACTTCTTTCGCACCGCACTGTTGTAGCATGGGGTGGGGTTAGGCTGCAAGGTAGCCAGGAGGCGGCAGTACAGCAATGGATTCCTGAATCTATCCGTGTGGACCTTTGAAGCGTTTACCCTCGTACACCTGGGGGGTTGTCCCCGGGCACTCCGAGTTTCTTTCCAGGTGCCGAACACTCCAAGTCATGACCCTCGACAAGTGCAGGAGCCTCGAGTAGACTTCCCGTGGTAAATGACGATGATATAATTATTTCATTTTTTTAAGGAGACGGTTATTTTTTCCCCCCTCCCCGAGGACACCAGGTACTCCTTTTTGCCTGCATCCTCACACATTGGTGGACGCAGGGCAGTTTCAGATTACAATCAGCACTGTTTGTTCGTGCGACATGGAATTGAACCCTGGTGAGTGGGATGTGCCGTTTGATATCGTGCCTTTAGCCTTGCGGATCACGAGGGCAAGCGCTGTTAGCGAGCACCTACTGAGGACGAATTGACAAGACAGGGGTGGTAGTGAGCCAGTCCCATGTCCAGCTGTGAGTGCTGAAATTTACACACCGCACACCAGCTACTCTCATTCAAGGCCGAGCTGACCTCAGGAGTTTGAGGCTCAGGATCAATTCAGGAATCGAACTCGGGGTCACCGGGTTTGTAGCGCAGTGCTCGAACCACTGTGCCACCGCTCTAACAAAAAACGAAGACAAAGATCCCCCGTATAGCTTTACCAGACTGTTGGGGCAAGTGCTGTGAGCGAGCACCTATGAAGGCTGGCACGGCACACGAGGGGGTGGGGTGGCCAGCGTCACGCCCGGCCACCTTTGTCTTCGCATCGAACCAGGTACTCATTTGAGGCCGAGTCGACCTAGGGGAGGCCCAGGACCAGTTCAGATAATCGATACTGGTGCTGACTGCGAGCGGGAATCGAACTCGGCTCGCCAGGTTTGTGCTCAAACCACTGCGCCACCGCTCCTCACTTGCAGTCAAACACACACAACCAAAAACATGCAAAACATCCCCATTGTGTCCTCTCGTGAGCATTCAACCGTGGGTTGACCAACATAACCAGGTCTATACAAACGCTCGTACAACACAACCCAGTTTATTAGATAGACACACACACAGGAGCTTTTGCAAACTCAGATGCGAGTTTAAAAAAAAAAAACGCTCTTTGATCTTGATACATTACGAGTATACAGCTGTACCAGCTTGTGTTGGACTGTGGTGATGCACCCGAGGCAGGCAACGCAACAAGGGTGACTTCAGGTTTTCCAAGAAAACTATAAAGAGAAGGAAAGAAAACCTCCCCACCCACCCCCATCTCTATTCTGTGATGGAATCAAATTTGCCTGGAGGAGTTTTCATTCTAAACAAAGACAACGCACAACGGGGACATGATAGACATTTGGACGATGCGTTATTTATAATCGTGAAAGGGTTGATACATGGGAGGTAAAAAAAAAATCCGTACAGAAGATTTTATTATTTCGCAGAATTTGTCCGTGACATTTATTTTCAAGATACAGGATCATTCGTAATTTTTGTGATGCACAATGGACGAGACTGATGAATAAATTCACATACATTTTACTATTTTTATATTCTTGGTTCTTTCGGTACAGTCACGTAGAAGGGAAACAATAAAATAATAATATATATTAATAATAATATTTATTATTTTATTGTTTCCCTTCTACGTGACTTTACCGAAAGAACCAAGAATATGAATCCCTGCAGCCACGAAAGCTTTAAATAAAAATGTATACATTTTACTGTACCTATGGGACCATATATTTTAATGTTTTGACGCACCTTGACCACACGTCTACGCTCCCACGTATTTGATCTCTACTTTCACCAAACCACACACTGACCAGCGCAGTCTCCCCTCCTCTTTCTTTCGTACGGCTGACGATGTCGCTGCACAGCAACGACGACAATGTCACATTCAGCTGGCCAAGTCCAGAGACCACCGCGTCGGGAGCACCGTAGTGCGTCGCTGTAACGACCAGCGCGGTGAAGTATGGTCAAACAATCCCTCCCACACAGCGTGGGAACTCAGCCGGCACTGGATGGATAATAGGGCTGTATATGTCCCTATTAAGATACATAACGTATGTTTAAAAAAAAAAAACACATTTGCATTTATATTGTCCCAATAAGCTTGTCCCCTGCTGTAAGGCATGCTGGATTACTCATTTTCTCGTTAAAAAGTTTTCGCCCTCTATATATTTTTTTTTTCCTGTGCGACGGGAAATTATGCGGGGGGGGGGGGCAGGCGACCCCTCAAGTCCCTTGCTTTGATGCTGCTGCGGTCCTCACTCTTCTGCTCCCGCCGTGTGA